CGCATATATGTATTGGGCAGCGGCAGTTGTACCTTATCAGCGCGTACCTCCCGCAAGGCGGAGATCTGGATGAATGGAAGAAGCACCTCGGTGTGGTATGCCGTACAATCCGGAAGCAGTGCAGGAGATCAGAGATGCTGATACTGTCCGCCGATGCCAACTGTGAGATGGGTGAACGCTTAGGCCCTGCTGAGCATGCTTATCTCGGTTGTTTTTCCCAAGGTCTTCGAAAGGACCGCGGCCAGGTCCTCGTCGAGGCGTGTGTAAAGCAGCATTTTGCCGTTCTTAATACGTTTTTCCCGCTTGCTGGCGGTTCTACTTGCCATTCTTGGGGAGATCAAAATGGAAAGGGCACTCAAATCGATTTCGTGTTCACGCACGCCGATAAACTTGGACAGATCGATCGCGTTCGGAAGCATCGCGTTCTTGCGACCCGAACTGACCATCACATGATCCAGGTCCGCCTTCGGGCGGAGAGGCGGACCGCTTGGCATGAGCGTAAGCCGGTTGGGTGGACCTTGAAAGACCCCGTGCCTTTTTTCAAGCAGCTTTCGCAGCAGATCGATGAGCGCGACACTCTTGGGGATATCTCTGCAATTCTGGGGGAGGTGGGTAAGCATGCAGGCGTGCTGCCTTCTAGGAAAAGCATGCGGCGGGCCAAGCGTACTACCTTGCACATCTTGGAAGGCGAGTGGCGGCAGGCGACTTCTAGACAAGCCAAACGAGCGGCTGCCGAAAAGGTTTTCCAGGAGCGCAAGCGCCTGCAAGCTGAAGATATCAATGAAAGGAGTTTGGAAGTCTTGGGGAATTTACGTCAGGGAGGCTGGGGTAAGAAGAAAAGAGCCGTCTCTTCGGGTAGCTCGTTCTTCACGTGCCCTCGCTCGAAGCAAAGCATCACCGAAACCAGCAGCCTGGAGAAGAGCATGGTGGATTTTTTCAACGAGACGTTCCGGGACCCCGAAAACGAGCTCCTTCCTATTTGGATTTTGGGGAGTTTTCCACAAGCGGAACCTATTCCTACTAGCGCTGTTCATGAGGCCTTCATGCGAGTAAACAAGGGTGCGAGTTGTTCGGGCGACGGAGTTGTCGGGGAGATGCTTGAGGCCATCGCTAGTTTCCAAATGCAGCTGCCAGAACGGGTTCCTGTGGCCGCAGCCGCGCCTATTGGGGGGCCGGGCGGGTATGGGAGGCGCCATTTACTGCAGTTCGACGGAGCCAGGCGGGGCGAGCAGCAGGTGGGGTGTGGTGGTGTCCTCTTCGGCCCGGGGGGTAACCAGATCTTCGATTTTAAGTGGCGCATGTTGGGGGGTAGCAATGCTGACGCTGAGTGGCACGGCCTTCTGATAGGGCTGGAGTACGCCTCGCAAGCAGGGGTTCAGTTTTTGGCGATCGAGGGGGACAATGACGCCGTTATTCAGCAGCTTTTGGGAGTCTGGCAGGTTTGGGATTTCAGGAGTTCTATTTACCGATCTCAGTGCTACGCAATTTTATCTACGTTCTTCTACGTCCAGGCTAAATCGGTTCCCAGGGCTAGGAATTATCTAGCGGACTCGTACGCGAATCTCGGCATCGACGAAGCGCTGCCGGTACCGATGCATGACTCACCTTTCAGCTTCCATTCGTGCGGGTACTGCCTGCAGGGAGGCCCGAACCTTGGCGACGCCGACGCACCGCTCGTAGACGGCGATGTCCGCGCCAGTTCTGGTTGCGACGATTCCCCCCATTTCTCCACGTGCTTGTGCATTGAGGGTACGGACGTCACACATCCGCTGCATATCATTACAGAGTGCCTCAACAGGGATATCCGTGGGGATTGTCGCACAGTACATGCACGTCCTTCGAAACGACGTCGTCGGAGCGAGGGGGGAGGAGAGGGATCACAGAGCACGCATGATCGCACACGTGACCATGATGACGTACCAGCGTGTATTTTGGGCATGACGGGTTACCAAAGGGACATTAGCATTCTTACAAACATGGCCCTGCTACCTAAGGAAACCGTAGTGCATTGGTGGAACCAGCTCCGGCCAATCACGGTCCTTCCTGTTCTGTTGAAGGTGGTGGGTGGAGCTGTCTTCGACACTGTCTCGAACTTGCTGCAACCTCGCAACTTATGGCAGTTCGCTTATCGGGCGCGCCACTCCTGCGTAGACATGCTTTTCACAGTAATGATGCTTGGCCAACGTTCCGTGCAGGCTGACCAGAAGATCACGATTGCTCCGTCTGATGTACCTAAAGCTTTCGATCGAATTCGTCACGCGTTCATCGTGGATACGTTAATGGAGAGGGGGGTACCGCGTAGTATCATAGCATGGTTTATACGTCACATTCGTAGTCTACGGCATTCGCTACACTATCAAGGGCTAGAGGGTATTACGGAACGCGTTACTCGATCTATTCCCCAGGGAACCAAATGGGGCCCATTACTGTTCGCAGTCTGCTTGGAGCGGTGCTTGAATCCAGTGTGGGAGCTCTGCCAAAGGTCCCGGCTTGGTGTACCTCTTAGAGATATTCGTCCGTGTGCGCAACATAAGCAGAAGTGGTGCGAGCACTGTTGTCCTTTATATGTACCCTTCGTGTGTTTCTCAGACAACCTGGTTATACTTGGCAACGGCTGGCAACAGGCAAAGGAAATCCACGCTCTTGCTGAAAAGGCGTTGTCTTTGGCCGGCTGGGAGCTGCCAGCATCTCGCATCCAGTGGCACACCACGGAGGAGTTGGGAGGGGACTCGGATAGGAAACCGTACAATCCATGGGAGGGGACGGAGAGATTCAGCAACGGGGCTTCGCCTAGGCTGGTGGGGGGGTACATGACGGCGAGGGGGTGCATGCAGCAGGACATTTGCAAGAAGTGTTATTCCGGTTCCAGTAATGTAGCTCAGGCAAGCAGTTTGTGGAAACCTCGATGTACTGGCAGGCTGCAGCGCATCGCACTCATCCACCGAGTTTGGACGTCATCCGCTTTGTGGACGGCCCCCTGCTGGACCTACAACCTGCGATCTCTTCAGAAAGTACGCGGGTGCGTCAACAAACATTATCGCGATGCCCTACGGCTTCACAGGTACAGGAACGAGTCTGACGAGAACTATGCAAGACGGCAACGGCGTGAATCAAAACAGCTCCGGATGGATTCTCATATTGTCGATGCTGATGTCGTAGCTCTCCGAAGGACTTTCCAATATGCCGGACACATGGCCAGAATAATACAATATGCTCCAGAAGATTTACCATGCCAGGCGCTGCTCTGGAACTGTTGGAGCCGATGCCAAGAGAACGTACTCAGGAGTTGGCATAGGCAAGGGCATCCGCGCAGATTCGCTCCTTGGCACTGGGAGTACCAGTTCCTCAGATTCTTCAGGGAGGAGGGGCTTGAGTGGAAGGAGGTGGCCTGCAGCAAGGGAGAGTGGAACAAGTGGGAGGAGAAGTGGATTCGACACATGCTAGGGGCGGAATGTAGTAAAGCGATCCTGTAGCAGTAGCAGACATGCCAAGTGTTTATCACGCCTTTGTTAGCTAATGTCTCGGGGATGGGCCGCCTTGGGGTCACGCCTCACGAATGTGTGCCGCCGGAGAAAACGACCCATTTCAGCCAAAAGGGGCCGTTTTTCGCAGGGTCCCGCGGCATTGCATTTTCGTGTCGACTTAGCTGTTTTTTCCTTGTAACGTAGATGCTCGGCTTCTTAGCATTCTCGACAGGCGGACGATGTCATTCAGGCCTGCTCACCACCACCACCTCCTCCTCCTCCTCCTCCTCCTCGTCCTGCCCACTCCTCCTCCTCCTCCTCCTCCTCCTCCTCCTCCTCCTCCTCCTCCTCCTCCCCCATCATCCTCGTCATTCTCTTTCTCCTCCCTCCTCCTCCTCCTCCTCCTCCTCCTGCACCTCCTTCAGCAGCCAGGCGAAAGCAGCCGGGCGAAAGCAGCCGGGCGAAAGCAACCGGGCGAAAGCAGCCGGGCGAAAGCAGCCCGGGCGAAATCAGCGTCGGGCGAAACCAGCCCGGGCGAAACCAGCGCCAGGCGAAACCAGCCAGGCGAAACCAGCCTGGCGAAACCAGCGCTGGGCGAAACCAGCGGCTGCCAGGCCCTGTTGGGGGTCTGTCGGGAAGCCTCTTGGAAGCCCCTCTGGGGGCTTTCTACGGCCAACTAGGGGGCGTCTTGGTGAGCTCTTGGGCCTCTTGGGCCTCTTGGGGGCCTCTTGGGGGCCTTTTGGAGGGTTAAGGATCACGTTGGAGGGGTCGGCTTTGCGCGATGCGGCTGTGGCTGGCTTGTTGGGTCTCTGTTGGGACCGTCTTGTTTTTTTGTTGTCGGCCAGTCTTGGGGGGCCTCTTTTGCCGCCTTTGACGAGTCTTGTGAGCTTCTTGGGCTGTCCTGGGAGCTCTGGCGACCAAATTGGTGAGAATGCGCAAATCTATCAAAGAACGCAAGGAATCATACGATTTGAACTTTTTTGGCTGGCCCCCAGAGCCTTCAAGAGGGTCCGAGAGACCCCATAGGTGGGCTCTGATGGGCCTAGGTCCCAGGATCGCTCGAGTCACTCGCTCCAGGGTGGGGTGGGTGGGACCTGGGGCGGATTCAAGCCAAGAAGTCCGAATCCCAAACGTTTCGGGAGGGAGCTCAATCATTGTGGTACAACTTCCAATCCAGGATGTGATTTGGAATACGTCAGTCTGAACTCATCACAATGTCTTTACACGCAATTCGGATTCCTCCTTCCTTCGGATTTTTTGGTATTCCGCCGGAATCAAGTAGGAAGTCCTTGGGGTTCTAGACATTTTTCGGGTTCCTGATGCTAGCAAGACTTCGGATTCCTCTGGGTATGTCTCGGATATCCTTTGAGCTCCTTCCTTCGAGGACATCCTGAGATCTTCTGGATTTCTTCTGACATTCTTCGGAGCCTTTTGGATGTCAGGGCAAGTCGTACCGATATCCTTAGGATATCCGATGGATCCCTGAGGAATTTCTTTGGGACTCCTTGCGAACTATTTCGGGCTCCTTCGGAAGTCGTGTGGAGTTCACTGGACATCCTGAAATCCATCCGAGATCTTTCGGATTCCTTTGGCCATCCTAGGAAATCTTTTGGAGTCTTTGGCGCATCACTAGGATTCTCAGGACTCCTCAGGAAAGCCTTCGACAATCTTTAGGACACCACAGGGGGCTCCTCGGGGGACGCCAGGGGAGCGGATTCGTGCCCACGTGTGGAGCCGTGTGCCAGGGGACGTCCGCACCGACCAGAGCAGAGTCTGATCGAGGACCTCTGTCAGGAGGGAAAAAGCACACAGTCACAATTCATCGTCGATCCCAAGGAAAATATGCGAAAATATGGGAAGTGGGGGGGAAGGCAAAAACCCAGAGAATACAGGAAAATATAGGGAATCCTTTTATTTGTGTGTATTTATTTGTGTGTCTCAGGGCCCCTTCACTCTGTCATGCCATGCCTCAACACAGGAAGCGTTGGTTCGCGAGGCGCAGAACGCTCTCTCGGACGGCGGTGAGGCGCGAGACGCAGTCCCCGTGCTTACGAGATGTGCCACGCGTGATGTTCAGAGTCATCTGGAGTCGCTCTTTGCAGCACAGTTCGAGATACTGTGGGCGCTTTGGCCCCAAGGTCGACACCTACAGGGCGCGCCCGGATATAGAGAGAGAGAGAGAGGTAGAGAAAGAGAGAGAGAGAGATAGAGATAGGGACTGTGTAGAAAGGATGAGGAGGAGGAGGGGGAGGAGTACGAAGAGGAGGAGGAGGAGGAGGAGGAGGAGGATGAGGACGGGCACGAAGGATGATGACCATTAGTACGACGACGCTGATCATGACGACGACAGCCACGACGATGTCGATGATGTGGTAGATGATGCCTTTGACGATGACGATGATGATCATGCTGATGATGATGATACTAATGATGATGAGGATGATGGTGATGATCACAGTGATGATGACGATGACGACGACGATGATGACGATGGTGGTGATGCTGATCATGACGATGATGATGCTGATGATGATGGTGATGATGGTGGTGGTGGTAATGAAGATTACGATGATGATGTGGACGAGGAGGCCGATGATGATGGCGATGTTGGTTATGATGACGAGGGTATGTCGCCGTGGTGGCGCTTTCTCGCAGCATTCTCGACAGGTTCAGCCCCGAGCCGCGGCGCTGCCCAGCGGAGAGCCGGCCTCCGCGTCGCAGCACCCCCGCGCTTCCCGCGCCAGGGCGCTGGGCGGAGGCTCTCTTCGTCGTCGTCGTCGTCGCCGTCGTCGTCGTCGTCGTCGTCGTCGTCGTCGTCGTCGTCGTCGTCGTCGCCGTCGTCGTGGTCGTCGTCGTCGTCGTCGTCGACCTCTCCGTCCTCCGCTGCTGCATCCCTTCTCCTTTGAAATATCTCCTCCCCGACGCACCCCCAGACGTGCTGGTAGGGCGCGCGGGGCGTTTCGCCCGAGACTCCGTGAATCACGTATGATCCAGAAGCCAGGAGCATGCAACAGTTGCGCGGATGGAGGGCAGCTGTTTTTGAAATGGGGCTCTCGCCTTGGCTCCGAGCGCATTCGTTTTCAATGTTTGCAGCAATTTCAGAGGTGGATGGTGGCAGTTTTCAAACTGAGGCTCAAGCCTTAGCGCGTTGCACATTTGTTTCAGACGCCTGCAGCAGCCATAAGGATAGAGGTCGGTTCCTTCTCAAAATGGAGCTCTCGCCGTATCGCCTCGCACATCCGTTTGAACATTTCGTAGCAACTGATCGGACGGATTGAGGTTCTTTTCAAAATGAAGCTCTCGCTTCAGCGCCGCGCATATCCGTTGTTGAACATGCAACAGTCAAACGGGTGGAGGGCGGCTCCGCTTTCAAAATGAGGCTCCAGCCGCAGATCAGCGAACATTTGTTTCAAAGTCTTGTCACAACGATAGCCACTGCGTCCGCGCCGTACGCATTCGTCCTGAACATCTGCAGCAGCAACACGGACGGAGAGAGGTTATTTTCAAGAGCAGTTTCTTGCCGTAGCGCCGCGCGCATCCGCTGTAAAGCATGCGACAGTCAAACGGATGCATTGTGGCTCCGTTGTCAAAATTAGGCTCCAGCAGTAGATCCGTGAACATTCGTTTCAAAGGTTTGTCACAGCGATAGCTGTTGCGTTAGCGCCGTGCACATTTGTCCTAAGCATCTTCAGCAACTACACGGATGGATGACGTTTCCTTTTCAACATGTGGTTCTCGCTTGGGACTCCCGTCAATTCAACGACCCGAGGGCTGAACATATGGAACTCTTGCGCGGGTGTAGGGCGGTTACTTTTTCCAGGTGGGGCTCCCGTCGTGGATTTCCACAACTAGCCATCATAAGTAAGTCTGAGCGTGTTCATTAGTTGCAGGGGTGTTCCTTTTCAACACGAGGGTATTATTGGAAACACTGTTACATTTAATTGTCTTAGCATGTTGTATTCCTGATAACTCGCTGGAAGGATGCAAGGTACTTCCTTTCAAAGGGGGCTTTCGCATGAATGTTAGGCACATTGTATGCTCATCTTCAAGGTGGTCTCTCTGTGGTGAAGATGAGGGTGTTTAGAGACTTACGAGGAGGGGACTTGGGACTGGTGGGTGTATTTCAGCATCGTCAGTGCTCCCTGACTTTATTCTGGTCCTCCTCCTTGACCTCCTCGCTGTTCCATTTCTTACTCCAGGTCCGCCTCCCCCTCGCCCTCCCCCCTCTCCCCGTTCTCGCCGTCCCAATCAGTCCCCCCCTCCCCTTCCTCGTCGTCCTCCCTCCCATCATCGTCCTGCTCCTCCTGTTCATCAAGCCTCCCTTCGTCGGCCCCCTAGCTCTTCCTCCCCCCCTCCTCGTCCTTCTCTTCTCCCCTCTCGTCCTCCCAATGCTCCTCCGCACCGTTGGTGGCGCATCGGGCCCCGTAGTGGGACTATCCTGGCACGAACTTCGCGAGCCAGGTCGGGGCGAGCCCGGGGGGGATTTCTGGCCAGCATTCGATCGTCGCCCGCCCGCCTCGCGTTCCGTTCTCTGCCTCCTCGTCCTCCCTGTCCTTCCCGCCTCCTCCCTCCTTCTGCTCCCCCTTTGGACAGTCGCACTCCTTGTCGAGTCTCGCATTCCCCCCGCTGGCACGCGCAGATGCGTGCGGCCAGGGACAGTCAAACCGACCCGAACCGAGCTTGCTTTCTCCTCCTCCTCCGCGTCCTGCCCCCCGCCCCCCTCACCCTTCCCCCTCCTCCTTCTGCCTCCTCCTCCCCCTGCTCCTCCTCCTGCTAATCTCTCGCGCCAGGCAGAGAAGGAGGAGAAGTAGTAGTAAGGATTGGGATTATGATGATTAGGCGGAGGAGGAAGGGCAACTCGCAGGATGAGGATGGTGGTGATGATGGTGTTGATGATGTTGATGGTGTTGATGGTTATGATGGTGACGATGATGGCGATGGTGGTGATGATGATGGCGGGGGTGGTGATGGTGATGGTGATGGCGATGGTAATGGTGATAATGATGCCGGTGCTGATGACGATGACGATGACCACGATGATGATGATGATGCTTATGCTGATGCTGATGATGGTGATGCTGACGACGGCGATGACTATAACCATGACGCCGATTATGTCTATGACTATGGTAATGCTGGCGATGATGATGCTGCTAATGCTGATGATGATGACGATGCTGGCGATGATGATGCTGATGATGGTGGTGGTGGTGGTGATAATGACGATACTCATGGTACGTATGATGACGGCGACGATGTTGGTTTTGATGATGAGGATGACGATGATGCTGCTGCTGGTGATGATATTGATGATGATGATCATGCTGCTGCTGATGATGATGATGAAGTTGTTTCTGCTGCTCATGGTGTTTGCCGGCAACGGCGATGACGACAACGATGATGTTGATGTTGATGACGATGCTGATGATGATAATGATGATAATGCTGTTGCTGCTGCTGCTGATGGTGCTGATGGTGACGATTGCAAACCTGATGAGGATGATTATGATACTGATGCTCATGAACATGATGATGCTGATGCTGATGTTGCTGATGCTCATGATGACGATGATGCTGATGATGATGATGATGATGATGCTAATGATAATGATGATCATTATCTTTATGCGTTGTTGATGATGATGACGGCGATGATGATGACGATGATGATCATGATGATGATGACGATTATGATGATGCTGATGCTGATGATGATGATGCGGATGATGTTGATGATCATGATGACGATGTTGATGCTGCTGATGATGATGATGATGATGATGGTGATAACGATAATGCTGATCATTATTCTGATGATGAGGATGACGATGCTGATGACGATGATGATGACGACGATGATGATGACGATGCTGATGATGCTGCTTCTGCTGCTGATGATGCTCATGATGATGACGACGACGACGACGACGACGACGATGATGATGATGATGATGATGATGATGATGAAGATGATGATGATGATGATGATGATGATGATGATGATGATGATGATGATGATGCTGATGCTCATTCTGATGATGATGCTGCTGCTGCTGATGATCATGATGATGATGATGATGCTGATGATGACGATGATGATGATGATGATGATGATGATGATGATGATGATGATGATGATGATGATGTGATGCTGTTGATGATGATGATGATGCTGACGACGGCAATGATTGTGGTGGTGGTGGTGGTGGTGGTGACGATGCGCATCAGCAGACGTTTCCCCCCCCACGACGCGGGTATGAGTGAGCCCCCGCACGCATCATGTCAGCGTTTCGGCCAAAGTCAAAGCCCACCGCTGGCACTGGCTGACTCATCCTCGAGCTGCGTGTGCGTTTCTGCGCAGCCCTGGTGGGTGCCATGGCCCCCGCGGCGACGGGCCTGGCCCTCTTGCCCCGTGGCGGTCCTGGGAGCAGACGCTTTTCCACCTGAGGCCTCTCCAGACGGCCACCCGGGGCTCTCTCCAAGCTCGCCGTCGCCGGCCCGAGAATCATCGACGCCCGGTGGTTTTCGGCTCACAGTTCTGGCCTCTGGCGCCTGGCCGGGACGATCCGCGCACCTTTGGAAGGCTCTCGACGAGGCTCAGCCGATGGGGACCACCCCGGGCATCGAAGCCCTGCGAAAACTCTTTGGAGAATCTCCATCCCTTTTCTTTACACGTAACTCTTCCCTGCCGCACCCCGAGACGCGCCGGTAGGGCGGGCCAGGCGTTTCGCCTGAGACTCCGCACCATTTAGGATCCTGAGCGCCTCCTCTGGCGTCGAGAAAAAGCCACGCCTGTTAGGCTTTGCGACAGTGTCGTGGATACACACCGCGCACAGGGACCACCCCCAGCGTACCCCCTAGAGGAAAAGATAAAAAACAACAAATCCTTAGGCTGAAAATTAGCAATGAAAAGCTTACAATCATTTCACGGAGGAAAGGCGGATGGGTTTCTAAAAGTGGCTCTCGCTCTAGCGCGGCGCACATTTGTTTCAGGAGTCCTGCAAGGGTTTCACATATGGAGGGCGGGTGGTTTCAAAATGTGGCTCTCGCCTTAGCGCCGCGCGCTTTCGTTGTAAAAGTTTGCAAGGGTTTCTCTGGTGGACGGCGGTATTCTTCAAAATGTAGCTCTCGCCTTGGCGCCGCGCATGTTCGTCTTAAGAGCTTGTAGCAGTTGCAGGGATTCTTATGGTGGGCCTCCCAGGCATGGTGTTTTGGCACCATGTAGGATTGGCAGAAAGCAACGGTTACGTTGATCGCGTTGTTGAAAACCCAGGAATGGTGCTCGGGCACGATTCAGGATCTTCAGGGCGCAAGAGTAACGCTGATTCGCGGCGTTGAAGTCCCAGGACTGGTGTTCTGGCACGGTTCAGGACTTCCACTCGATTGTTTTCAAACGGGGTTTTGCCCTCATATCATAGAGCCTTTGTAGGGACCGTGAAGAGGGAATTTGGAGGGGGGTTCGTTGCAACAGCGTTGATGAGTCTTGGGGTTGCACTGGTCTTCCTGCTCGTCCTCCTTCTTCTCCTTCTCCTCCTCCTCCTCCTCGTCCTCCCCCCTCCCCTCCCCATCCTCCTCCTTCTCCTCCTCCTCCTCCTCCTCCACCTCCTCCTCCTCCTCCTCCACAATTACTCAATATGAATACTACTCTCCCTCTTCCCCCGATGGCGGCCTGAAAGTATTAGACCCCCCCGCGTACTGTTTCTTACACACAGGATTCCTGGGAGTTGGGTATTCGCCTGCGTTTTTTTCAAAATGCTGCTCTCGCTGAGGCGCCGGCCTCATTTCTGCTCCCGAATCGTTCCGAATCGTGCTCCCGCTGCAGCGTGGGCCTCATTTTCGGATCGGTGTTTGGCCTCCGTCGTTCAGGATGGCGTTCTCGCCCCAGCGCGGGCCTCTTTCTCGCGCGCCCATCCGCCCGCCACCACCGCGCCGCACCACCACCACCACCACCACCACCACCACCACCACCACCACCACCACCACCACCACCACCACCACCACCACCACCACCACCCACCACACACCACCACCACCACCACCACAGCACCACCACCACCACCACCACCACACACACACCACCACCACCACCACCACCACCACCACCACCACCACCACCACCACCACCACCACCACCCACCACCACCCACCACACCACCACCACCACCACCACCACCACCACCACCACCACGACCACGCACACACGCACGCACGCACGCACGCGCACCACCACCCACTACGCACGCGCGCGCGGAGCCACAGGTCCGCTACGACACGCGTCCGCGGATAGAGAAAATCAGCGCCATGGTAAGGGATGGGAGGGAGGGGTAGGACGTCAGATATGACGCGAGCGCACCTAGCTTGCCCTCCTCCCCCTCCCCCTCCTCCTCTTCCCTTGCCTCCTTTTCCCCCTCCTCCTCCTCCTCCTCCTCCTCCGCCTTTTCCTCCTCTTCCCCCTCACCCTCCTCCTCCTCATCATCCTCCTCCTCCTCCTCCTCGTCTGACCCATGTCGTGACCGAGTCGAGGGAAGCCCCTTCCCTTGGGCTTGGATCCCCCTCCCCGCCTGGGCCCTCAAAGGCTGTGGCGGGCGCCCCGCGAGGCCCTGCAGGGCTCCACCGCCGGCTGGGCCCTGCCGGGGCCCCCTCCCCGGCTGGAAGACTGTCGAGCAGGTGGTACCGGTCGGGATCGGCAAAGAGAGCGGTGACCCAGAAACCCAGACTCCCTCGAGTTGTGACAAAAATCACGACGGGAGGTTTTTCCATATTTTCGGCCTCTGAGAGGGCCTGCCGGTCTCAGGACCGTCAACCAGATGACTCAGGATGGAACGCTGGTCCAGGGGAGTGGGTACAGACCTCTGGGGGTCAGCGTCATGAAAAAATCATGACGTCGGGGTTCTGGGAGGGGGTTGGAGAGAAAAGTCCCCCAGGGGGCCCCGTCAGGCCTCTTTTGGAGCCAGCAGGGGCCCAGCAGGGGCCCAGCAGGGGCCCAGCAGGGGCCCCAAAGGGCACCTCCTGGGCCCTTCCCTTCACCCCCTATCCAGGTCACCACCCTCGGGGGCGGCAAAGAGGGTGGGGATGACTAAGGGGGGGTGGATGTCATGGCGGGGGCCATGATATTTCCTCAGATTTGATGGCGCCTCTTCTCATTTCATTACGCCCCTGGCCCCTCCGCTGGGCCGCGCACATGCCGCCGGTCATGATTTGCACCCCCCCCTCTTGGACCTCCCCTCTTGGCCGCTCCCGACACCCGCCCGACCCTGAGATTCGCCGTTGCCGAAAGGTTGCAACATTGCCATTCAACGCGATCGGATCCCCGGACCCCATCTTGCTGCGTCACTTTCCGGGCCGGATCGATCTGTCAGGGTTCTGGGGCCCGAAATGGCGCGAAACGCCTGGCACGAAAGAGTTGAGTCGCTAGGATCTCAGGATTGTTCAATGAACGAGATATAGTAGACAAGAGTATTTCTAGGCCTCCTAGATGGGGTCCGAGTAGATGGGGTCGAAGGATCGCGCCGCATCGCCGATGCATCGCCCACGTCGCCAGTGCATGCCAATGCGTCGGCGATGCACCGCCGATGCATCGCCGATGCGGCGCGACCCTCCGACCCTATCTACTCTGACCCCACCTAGGAGGCCTCTAGTGATCTGTGGTGCGCGGCTTGGCGCCCCCTGCGTGCGATGGGACAGGTGGCCGCCCGCGCGCTGGGGCGGGGCCCCCCGCGCGGCCCCCAGAGGCCGCGCACCAGGGGTCCCTCCGGCGAGGGGCCACTCTCGCGTACAGCCGCGTCGCCGGGGATCCGCGGTCGCCGTCTCCTCCTGGTCTCGGGCGGGTGGTAATGCGGGGGGACCGAGATGGGCCCTGAGGTCCTGGCGAGTACAGTTCTTTGGCGTTTTCGCGCAAGGTCAGGCCCCGGGGCCCTCACAGGTCGCTCAGGCCAGAAAAGGGAAGCAGACAGATGGAGTCTGGGGGTCTGGTCGTAATTTTTGGCGATGTTGCCATTTTTTGGCAACGCCGGATCTCAGGGAATCCTGCAGGGAGGCTTGTCCGAGGGGCGTTGTCGGGTGGGGTTGTCTGGATCCCCGCTGGTGTGTCCCGGGGGCCCTTCCGGAGCAGGTCTTCTCGTCGCCATTCGTCGACGTGGGCTGTCCGGGTCGTGCAGTGGCTTGTCCGGGGATTCTTTGTGCGGTTCGCTGTCCCTTGAACACGCAGGAAGGCCCCTCTCTTCTGGCCGAACGCGGTCCTCCGCGTTTTCCTCCGCCGGAGGTCCCCGGCCGCTTCTGCTGCGGCGCGTCCTCCTCGCTCTGCTCGGGCGCCGCCCGCCCCGCGGCCGTGCGTGCGGGCCCCCCCCGGGGGGCGGCCCCGCGCGTCGCGCGCGGAGGCCGGGCCCCCGCGAGTGGCCCGCGGGGGCCCCGGGCCGGTGCGGCGACCGCACCGCGTGGTGAGTCGGTGGGGATCCGAGGCGCCCGCGCAGCTGCCCGGGTCGCCGTCGACCGCCGTCGTGGGAAGCGCTTCGGCACGAGTGGTGTCTTTGTCGCGCGAGTGCGAACGGCCATTCCGGCCCAATGTGTGTTAAACCCTTTCAGCCCAACCAGTGAATCATCATATCGCCTGCGTCGTATCGAAGGGCCTCGATGGACAAGCACACGTTGGGGCTATAACACATTCTGAGGATCATCTGTAATCATGTGTGAACATAAGCTTTCGGAGGTCCGCGCGGATTCCTCGTATCGGCGCTGGAGCCCCGTGGCGGTGCGCTCCGCGCGCCAGGTAGGGCCGCCCTCGATTCGAGCCGGCTCGAGCCGGTTCGGCGAGTCGAATCGCCGCGTTTGCCGACCCGACTCGATCATGATGTAGATTTGGGCTCCGAGCGATTCGACTCCGGCCTTGTGCAAGGTGGGCGACGCGCCGGCGCGATTTCCGATTTTGCTCGGCATTGGCAGCGGGAGGAGAAGGAGGAGGATGAGGATGAGGAGGAGGATGAGGAGGAGGAAGAGCAGAAGGAGGAGGAGGAAGAGGAGGAGGCGGAGGCGGAGGCGGAGGCGGAGGAGGAGGAAGAGGAGGAGGAGGAGGGGCAGCGCCGATTCATGTAATCAGCGCGGACCTTCGACAATTTGTGCTTCTGTGGCTGTTGTCTCCGCGATTCTGGGGCTCGGGTTGCTCTCCGACTCTCCGAGGATGTCTCGGGAGGCTGGGGCCTCGAGGCTTCCTAAGCCCTGCGGTGACGGGCTGTGCACACACACACACGCACAGGTCATACGCCAAAGGCGCGTGGACGCGGACAGTTTTGTACAACGCTGTGTTTCACATGCGCTGATCATGCACAAGGTCGAAACTCAGATTGGCACGAAATTCTTCCCTCCGCACAGTGGTCGTCCGCTCGTTGCGCGGCTGCCCGCAGCGCCTGATCTACTGCTGCGTAGCCAGCACTATCGTGTTCGAACTGCGGAGACCTGGTCTGTCACCGCATTGTTCTGGGCCCCGCGAGTGACAACTCAATGGGGTTGGAGCCCACGAGAGGTAGCAGAAGGCCATAAGTTTAATTCAGTGAGCGAGGGCGAGTGAGCGAGCGTTCCTCCGTTGAACTCAGTTGGCGATGGCGAGCAAGCGAGCGAGCATTCCTCTTCCTCCGAAAAACTCCTCTTTCCTACCATCCCCTCCCATCCCCTCCCCTCCCCTCCCTCCCTCCCTCCCCTCCCATCCCCTCCCGTCGCTTCCCCTCTCCTCCCCTCCCTTCCCCTCCCCTCCCCTCCTCTCCCCTCTCCTCTCCTCCCTCTCTCCTCCCCTTCCACTCCCTCTCCTCTCCCCTCCCCTCCCTCTGTCCTCCCCCGCGCAGGCCCACATGGGCCCCGCCCCGGCGGTACTGCGCGCTCGCCTCGCCTCGCCTCGCCCAGTTAGCTCACCTCTTCTCCGCGTGCGCGCAGGCGCGGCGCCCGCGGCGGCGCTCCACGGCGCCAGCGCGGCCAAGACGCTGCCAGGGCGCTGCGGGGGTCTTCGGCATCGTTGTCGCCGTCGCCCGGGAGGAGGGAGGAAGGAAGGAGGAGGGAGGGAGGGAGGGAGGGAGGGAGAGAGGGAGGGAGGGAGGGAGGGAGGAGGATGAGCAGGAGCAGGAGCAGGAGCAGGAGCAGGAGCAGGAGCAGGGGGAGGAAGAGGAGGAGGAGGAGGACAAGCTAGGTGCGCTCGCGTCATATCTGACGTCCTATCCCTCCCTCCCATCCCTTACCATGGCGCTGATTTTCTCTATCCGCGGACGCGTGTCGTAGCGGACCTGTGGCTCCGCGCGCGCGTGCGTAGTGGGTGGTGGTGCGCGTGCGTGCGTGCGTGCGTGTGTGCGTGGTTGTCGTGGTGGTGGTGGTGGTGGTGGTGGTGGTGGTGGTGGTGGTGGTGGTGGTGGTGGTGGTGGTGGTGGTGTGGTGGTGGTGGTGGTGGTGGTGGTGGTGGTGGTGGTGCGGCGCGGTGGTGGCGGGCGGATGGGCGCGCGAGAAAGAGGCCCGCGCTGGGGCGAGAACGCCATCCTGAACGACGGAGGCCAAACACCGATCCGAAAATGAGGCCCACGCTGCAGCGGGAGCACGATTCGGAACGATTCGGGAGCAGAAATGAGGCCGGCGCCTCTGCGAGAGCAGCATTTTGAAAAAAACGCAGGCGAATACCCAACTCCCAGGAATCCTGTGTGTAAAAAACAGTACGCGGGGGGGGTCTAATACTTTCAGGCCGCCATCGGGGGAAGAGGGAGAGTAGTATTCATATTGAGTAATTGTGGAAGAGGAGGAGGAGGTGGAGGAGGAGGAGGAGGAGTAGGAGGAGGAGGACGTCACTGAAGTCGTCGCCACGACGCGTGTGACGGGTGTGCCAAAGTGGGTGCTGCTACGCCATACGGGCGCTGCCACTGGGGCCTTCAGTGGAGTTCCCTATGGGGCCACGAAACGTGTGCGAGGTGCGCTGGAATTCTGAGTGGAACCACATGCCGGCGCTGTTGGTGGAGCCCCCTACGGTGCCACTAAGCGTGTGAAGGGTTGCGCTGAAAGGGTGGGTGGAACCGCATGCGGGCGCTGCCATTGAGGCCTTAGGTGGAGCTCCCCTTGGGTGCCTTCGGTGGTGCCCCCTATGGCGCCCCGGAACGTGTGAGAGGTGCGCCGACATTGGGGGTGGAACAGCATGCGGCCGCTGCCATTGGGGCCTTCGGTGGGGCTCCGAATAGGACCAAGAAGCGTGTCAGGGGTGCACCCACATGGGAGGTGGAGCAGCATGCGAGCGCTGCTGTTGAGGCCTTTGGTTGTGCTCCCTTCGGGGCATGGAACGTGTGAGGGGTGCGCTGACATGGGGGCTGGAACCGCATGCGGGCGCTGCTGTTGGGAACTTCGGTGGTGCTCCCTGTGGGGCTCTGAAACGACTGAGGGGTGCGCCAGACTGTGGTGTGGAGCCGCATGCGGGCGCTGCCACTTGGGCCTGCGGTGGAGCTCCCTATTGGGCCACGAAACGTTCGACGGACGGGTGCGCCAGAATGTGGTGTGGAACCGCATGCGGGCGCTGCCACTGGAGCTTTCGGTGGAGCTCCCCATAGGGCCACGAAACGTGTGAAGGGTGTGCCAGAATGGACTCGCGGAGGGCAGAGGCAATGGTGGGAGGAGGGAGGAGGGGGAGGAGGAGGAGTGAGGAACGCGGGGCGCTGTCTCTTCAAAACGAGGACCAACACCACAGGATAGTTTACAAGGGAAAAACAAGATTATTGATCACCGATGTTGGCTTCTTCGGCCAGCATCCTCTCTGAAGCCTCTTGGGCATCGGGGGCTCATACATATCAAGCGGGGACATGCAATCAAACACGTTGAGAGGACACTCTAAAGTTGAGACAACCTTTATTCGGCGCCGCTCAAGCATACTTATGCTGTGTGTGCGTCGGTCCTTCAAGGGCGACGCGCACGCTCAGAACTCTTCTAGTATAAGCTCGGTGGCAGGCGCTTTCTGGCCACACCGCAGGGGAAACGAGGTGCTATGATTTTTTTTTGCTGCATGTTCGTGTCGGACGTGCGCCTCCAACGGCAAGCGCATAATATCTGTATATCCTTCAGCGTCCCATGCATGTGGTGTGCAGCATTGTTCAGTCACCAGTGCGTTTGTGAATCCGTTACGGGATTGTGTCTGAGTATCATGCCTTGACTCCTGTGTGCTGGCGCATGTCCCAGCGACTTTTGCTTAATCAATCACGCCGATACCGTTTACAGCACACAGTGATTTGGAGTACACATGAGCTTCGCAGAACAACGGGTTCGACATTGTCAACCATCGCGCGAACGCTGTCCGCGTATTGTCGCGAGTAAGCGCCCTCATTTCCAGTGCAGAGTGCCGCGCTGGCGGCCTGCCTAAGCTGCGGCGTAAGGTCGCCATGCCATCTCGCGTAAGGCTCATCTCTAGTCGTCGCAAGTGTGTCGAAGTACGCAGGTGTGTCGAGTAATCATGCCTTACATCCTGTGCGGTGAAGAATCCCCCAGCCACCTTTGTCGAACAATCACGCTGATATCGGTTTGAAAACACTTGGATCATAGTTTATTATTATGGACAATGATGCTGAACATAACCAGAAAGGCCCTACAGACGGTGTCGCCGACCCTGAATCTGGATCAGCCGGTCCCCCGAGCTGCTCCTGCCGCCGTCGTCCACCTGCGGAGGCGGCTGCGGGTGCGCCGTCGTCGTCAACGACGTCATCGTCCGTCGTCCGTTGTCGTCGTCGTCGTCGTCGTCGTCGTCGTCGTCGCCGTCGCCGTCGTCCGTCGTCCGTCGTCCGTCGTCCGTAGTCCGTCGTCCATTGTCGGCGTCGTCGTCGTCGTCGTCGGCGTCGTTGTCGTCGTCGTCGTCGTCGTCGTGGTCGTCGTCCGTCGTGGTCGCCGTCGTCTTCCGTCGTCTTTGTAGGCGTCGTGGTCGTCGTTGTCGTCCGTCGTTGTCCGCCGTCCGGCGTCCGTCGTCAGTGGTCCGTCGGCCGTCGCCGGTGGGCGTTGTCGTCGTCGTCGTCGCCGTCGCCGAGGCCGTCGTCCGTCGTCTGTCGTCTGTCGTCGTCGTCGTCGTCGTCGTTCTGGTCGTGGTCGTCGTCGTCGTCGTCTGGTCGTCATCGTCGTTGTCGTCGGTTTCATTTTCGGCGTCGATCTCCACGTTGGCGTCGGCGTTGGCGTCGTCGTCGTCGATGTCGGTCGGCGTCGTCGTCGGCGTCGTCATCAGCGTGAGCGTCGTCGTCGCCACCCCGGCCGACGAGACTGGGCGGAGGGGACAGGCCGCCCGCCCCGGAGTGCCTGCTTGCGGCGCTGGCCTACGTGCTGCCCCTCACCGGCGGGACCGTCGTCGGCCGTCGGTCGTCGGTTGTTGGTCGTCGTCGTCGTTGTCGTCCGTCGTCGTCTCGGCTGTGTCGTCGTCGTCGTCGTCGTCGGCCTTCGTCGGACTTCGTTCGTCGGCCGTCGTGCGTTGCGTCCGTGGTTCGTCGTCCGTCGTCGTCGTCGTCGTCGTCGTCGTCGTCGTCGTCGTCGTCGTCGTCGTCGGCTTTCGTCGGATTCGTCGACTGTTGTGCGTCGTCTGTCGTCCGTCTTCCGTCGTCCGTCGTGCGTCGTCCGTCGTCCGTCCGTCCGTCGTCCGTCCGTCCGTCCGTCCGTCCGTACCGTCCGTCCGTCCGTCCGTCCGTCGTTGTCGTTGTTTCGAATGTTTTTGAGCGGATGATGATGATGATGATGATGATGATGATGATGATGATGATGATGATGATGATGATGATGATGATGATGATGATGATGAAGGTGGAGGAGGAAGTGGCGGATGGAGGGGGCTGGGGTTTCTGGGGTCTGTTGCAGTTTTCTGATGATGCCTTCTGTGTTGATTTGAGCTCAAGCGGGCGCGAGCACGGGGGCGCAAGCGTCCAATAGCTGTAATCGAGCATGACAGATGCCTTTCCATTTACTGCCCGAGACGCTCCCCCGACCAGAGCGAGGAGACCGCCGCGATCGTGGATATCTGACAGAAAAATCTAGCTCATACACCAGATAGGCGTAACGAGGGCGCAGGGGACGACGCTAGAGGAGCGACGCCTGCACCGAGCTTTGCGAGACTCCGTTCGGGCAGACCGTTCCCAATGGCTAGAAAGCCAGCCCGGCAGGGCCGAATAGCCGATATGAAGGGTGTTCTGGTTGACTCCGACCAACGCGCCGACACAATGGCAGAATATCTTTGTAGAGTCCAGTGGGCGGTGCGGCAGACAAGCGCAGCGCCCCACGGGGACTCCGTGGGCGACGAGCTAGCTGTGCCATGCGGCCCTACACCGACGACGAAATCGCCACGTCCGCTGATCCGATGAAGTGAGGCAGAGCGTGTCGAAACGACGGCATCCCACCTGAGTTTTGGAAGACACTCTGCCAGTCTTGGACGCCCGAGTGCAGGTGGGCCGTCGATCTGTGCAACCATTGCTGGACCGATGCAGCATTTCCAGCAGAGTGGCACGAGGTGCTGGTTGCAGTCCTTGACGGCTTTTGGCTACCAGATTTTTGCTTCAATCCTGTTGGCAGGCTCAGAGCGGGTGGGGCCGATGGCCGCATTTGGCGCACCCAATGTGATTTCAACTGCAGGCACGAGGCCGCGGACACCATCTTCCTGGTCTGGAGGATTCTTGAACGAGTTTGGGCCGAAAGGGCGGGCAGATCATCTTGCTGACGCTCTATTGGGCGAAAGCATTCGACCGCGTCTCCCCAGAGTCTCCTGACATCAGCTCTGTTCAGGTTTGGCGTGGCGATGAAGTTTGTGGACGTGGTACGGGCGCCTCGCCAGGAGCTCACATTCTGCGTCGGGGACGCGGGCTCGACTTCGGCGCCGAGGGCACAACATTTTGGCAACATTCCAGGGTGCTCTCTGTCGTTCTTCTTGTTCGCGATCTGGACGACAGTAATACTTCAAAACGCGAAGGATCAGGCTGTACCAGAGCTGGACTTCTCCCAAGCAGTGCCATACTTGGGTTTACGCCGGCGACGCGCTGCTCGCGTCTGGCCACTCTGGTCCAGCGACGGCATACATGCGCAGCGCTATAAGGCTGGATCGTTTTGCGGGCGGCAGCTCAGTTGGCACGAGCTGGAAGTTCTGACCGTTGGATGCAATTCGCAAATTTCGAGGACAGACGGTTCTTGGGTGCCGGGGTGAGAAAGAGAGAGAGAAAGAGAGAGAGAGATAGAGATGGAAATAAAGAGAAAGAGAGAGAGAGAGAGAGAGAAAGAGAGAGAGAGAGAGGGAGAGAGAAAAAACATATCTATATATATATAGAGAGAGAGAGAGAGAGAGAAACAAAAAGTGAGAGAGGGATATATGTCATGCTATATCTAGGCAGCATGATTTCGAACGGTGGAAATTTGCCCTGAGCTCTCACGCCGATTTGGTGCCTCCTGGGCGGAGTTTGACAAGGTGAGGCGAATGTGGGCCATTTCGAGTTGACGCAGTCAAGGAAACTGGAGATCTTCAGCGTATGCAATTTCAACAAATTGTTGAAGCGTACGGTATTCTTGGATTAGGTGTGAACGAACAAGCTTGGCAACTTCCATGTGAGATTCTTGCGGCAAGTGCTCCGCATTCCGTATGCATTAACCACGTGGCAAATTCATATGTGTTGCAGCAACAGGCGCCGCTCCGCTGAGCAATATCCTGAATTGCCACTTTTTGCGACCGTCGCATATCGCACGGGAGCCAACTGATGACCCAGTCAGGGTAATTGTCTTGCACGTTACTTCGTGCAAACTAACAGCGCAGAGCTTCAAAAACAAGCCGTGGACCGAACCTGTTTTTGCCCACGTTGTCGGGGTCGCGGGGGATGAGGAGTCCCGGGAGGGGCTCTGGCAAGACAAGGTAATTCCTGCCGCAGCCTGGGGCGCCATGTGGGGCCACGGACGGCATTTGTCCATGTGTGCTTTGAATTTAGATTTCTCTCTCTACTCGATTCGTTCCGTTCGTTCGGTGTTTTCTGGATGTATCCGGGAGGTGGTGATGATGGTTCGGGGGAAATGGAGGAGGAAAAGGAGGAGAATAATAACGAGCAGGAGGAGGAAAAGGAGGAGGAGGAGGACGGGGAGGAGGAAAAGGAGGAGGAGGAACAGGAGGAGGAAAAGGAGGAGGATGATGATAATGAGGAGGAGGAGGAGGAGGAGGAGGAGGAAACATAAGTAAACGAGAACGGAGGATGGAGGAGGGCGGGGAGGAGGAGAAGGAGGAGGAAGAGGATGATGATGAGGAGGCGGAGGTGGAGGAGGTGGAGGAGGACGAGGAGGGCGGGAGGGAGGAGAAGGAAAAGGAGGGAGGGGAAGAGGAGGAGGAGCAGGAGGAGGTGGAGGAGGAGGAGGAGGAGGAAGACGGGTCTTGGTGCGTGGGCTCGGATGTCCCTGTCGTTTGGTTCATCCGTTGTGGCCAGTCTGGGACGTTTAAGGCGCTGGCTTTTGGGAGGAAGTGCATTGAAAACCGTAGATCGAAAGAAAGGCGGCAGCTTATCAATGGTAAGCCCCCGCAATCCACATGTCTCCTGCACGGCACCCTTCCATCCATGCGCGTGCCATGAGTAGGTGCAGGAATGTTGCTATGGGGTTATCCTTCAGTTCCCTTGAGCTGGGCTCGTGCCCAAGTGATGTGTTGTGCACTATATGACTCATCTCTGGAGGTCCCTAATAGTCCCCATAGAAGTAGGAGGAGGAGGAAGAGGAGGAAGAGGAGGTGGCGGATGAGGAGGAGGCAGAAGAGAGGCTAGCTGGGTGTTCTCGCTCCACACCTGTCATCCTTCCCATCTGTCCATCATCCATCCCTGTTCCCTGGGCAGATTTTCTTTGAACCGCCAGGTCGGATGTCACATAGGACCCTCGTCCTCGAATTTCTCGTGTTCAGACCGGATCTCGCCGTGGCGGCGAGCCCCCATTCCGAAGGCCGAGAGGAGGATGAAGATAAGGATGAGGATGCGGATGAGGATGATGATGAGGAGGAGAAGAGGAGGAAGAGCAGGAGGAGGAGGAATCTGAATAACAAGACTACGGTACTGATGATACTCATAGTAAAAGTATTAATAAGAATTTGATCATACTACGAATACTAAAAATACTAAAACCATGCGAGTGCTGAGACTAATACTAATAATAATGTTATTCTGAAGAAACGTACGCATACTACATATACTAATCATATTATAAAGCAGACGATTCAGAAGAACACGAACCATACTTAGAATAATACGAATATGAAAATGAAAAAACACGACGACGCATTCTAAGAATACGAATAATATTATAATAAGGAAACTAGTACACATAAGGCTAGGAACGCTAATACGAATACGACTAATGTGGAGACTAAGCAGACGAACTTTACTAGTAATATCAAGCATCTGATGAACAAGGATAAGCATACTCATCAAAAGGGGTACGAATACGAGGACTTATTGTAAGACGAAGACGAATCGTAGTACTGTTAAGAGGACGAAAAAAGACTACGAACCAAATCATAATAATACGAACGATATCATTACTGCTACTCAGAATACATTGTAGGAAGACCGTCAATGGTAATAGTAATGCTAACAATGACAATACAAAAGAATAGTGCGAACACTACTTCAAATACTTACGGTAAGAAGAACACGGGTACAACTAATACGACGATGATTAATAAGAATATGAGTCATTTCACTCCATACTAATAAGACTGTTGCTGTCAATGCTACTACTGATGATACAAACAAGAATGATCATATCAAGGCGATGACACATACTACTAACATTGATAATACGAATAGTAATAAGGCAAGTAATACGACCAGTACGAACATTAAGCGTACATTCAGTAATATCACTGCTTTTAGTTTTATTATTCGTACAAGTAGTATTACCATTGATACTGCTACTAATATTAACACGACTACTGTACTAATAGTCATAGTCTTAGTCGTGCTCATTAAAATTGTATTTCCCCTACGAGTGAAAACCTCGAAACTACCAATCATTTTGCGACTGATAATGACAATACTAGCAATTACATTGACATATTAAAAACGAAGTCGATCATAATATTTAGAATATGGATAGTAACACCACCTAGCATAATCACAAGATGGATAACCATAATCATAGTAAACCTAAGAAAGCGAATCATAGCAACAACACTATACATAAGGAAACTGATAAGACAAAGGGGGTAGGAAGAGGAGTAGGAGGAGGAGGAGGAGGAGGAGGAAACGGAGGAGGAGGAACAGGTGGAGGAAGAGGCCGAGGATGACGAGGATGATGATGCTGATGATGATGATGATGATGATGGTGGTGGTGGTGATGGTGATGAGGATGAGGATGATAATGATGATGATGATGATGATGATGATGATGATGATGATGATGATGATGATGATGATGATGATGATGATGATGATGATGATGATGATGATGATGATGATGATGATGATGATGATGGTGGTGGTGGTGGTGGTGATGATGATGAGGATGAGGATGAGGATGAGGAGAGGAGGAGGAGGAGGAGGAGGGGGGAGGAGGAGGAGGAGGAGGAGGAGGAGGAGGAGGAGGAGGAGGAGGAGGAGGAGGAGGAGGAGGAGGAGGAGTGGGAGGAGGAGGTGGATGGGTAAGAGCAGGAGGAGGGAGGACGAAACCGAGGGTCGACGACGAAACGCCGACGCCCTCCGAGGCGGCTTGTGCTGCGCGCGCCCGCTGCTCGCCGCCTCCCCGCGCCTGGCCACGCTGCGCGCGCCCCGGCCCCCCCCCCGGGGTGGCTGCCCGTCCGCGGCCCTCGTCGCTGTCCCTGGAGGGACCTCCCTCCTCGTCCCTCCTCGTTTCTCTTCGTCTCGTCCCTCCTTGTCCCTCTCCGTCCTTCCTCGTTCCTCCTCCCCCTTTTCCTTTTCCTCCTCTCCTCCTTTGCCTCCTCCTATCCGTCGCTCCTTTTCCTCTTCCCCTCCTCCTCTTTCGCCTTGTCCTCGTCACTTCTCCTCCTCCGCGTCCCTCCTTCTCTTCCGCGTCCCCCCTCCTCGTCTCGCCTCCTTCTCCTCCTGCTCTTCTCTTCTCCGTCCTCCTACTCCTCCTCCTCGTCCTCCTCCTCGCTTCCCTCGTCGCATTGGAGGCAGTACGCTGTGCTTGGACAAAGCCAGGCGGGTTTTTGGGAAGCTCTCCAGCAGTCCTCTGCTTCGCTCAATAGTTGCCCTGTTGTGCACCAGGCCTCCGGCTCTACCAACGGGGTTCAGGTGCCCCTCTGCCATATTATTTCAAGTATCCTCATCCTCGTCCATCCTCCTCGTCCCTCCTCCTCGTCCCCTCTCCCCTCCTCCTCCTTCTCCTCCTGCTCCTTCTCCTCCTCCTCCTCCCTTTGCCTCCTCTTCTTCCTCCACCTGACGCTGATTCTGCTGGCATTGGAATCCGAAAGGATGCAGCCATCCCCCTCCCCCCCAGCGGCGATACCCTGAAGGGGGGCTGGTCAACTCATTCTTCTGTAAGAGTGAGAAATAGAAGTATAGTCCTCTTTCTCGGTCCCCGTCAAGGGTCGAGGTTTTTGGATGTCATCCGCTTCTTTGGGGCCTCCATGGGGCTTCTTTCGGCCGCGGCTAGGTTCCCCGTGTAATTTCGGGCGTAACTCACCGTATGGACTTCGGGGAATCCTGGGTCCTCGTCCTTATCCCTCCTCCCGCTCCTCTTCCTCCTCCTCCTTCTCCTCTTCCCTCCTCCTGCTGCTGATGTTCCTCCTCCTCCTCCTTCTCCTCCTACTCGGACGGTCGGTAACCTCTTTCTTGGCTGTGTGCTGGGGATGATCACCATTGCAGTTTCGGCTCAAATTAGCACTCGCCGCGCCCACTATTCGCCTTGCTTCACATACCTTTCGCCTTGCATCATTCCGTACTGAAGCACACTCTCACCCATCACCGCTTTATATGTCTAGTTGATAGCGGAGCTTCGGCAGCCTCTCGCTCGCGCGGCCTTCATTCTACAAGGAGATGCACAGCGTCGTTGCTCTACAACGATCTGCCCAGCGTCTGTCCGCTCTACATCCGCCTTCGTGCTGCTCCACCGTTCCTTCGTGCCTGGGAAGCCGCGCGCGTACTTCTCCGAGACCATCAATTCCTCGGATCGCGGCCCCGCGCGGCCTCTCTCGACGCTTTCTCCCGATGTTTGAGCAGCTCGCGGACCCAACGCAACCATTGCCCCAGCATGTGGGTGTAGTTTCCGACGTCAGACAGTTGATGGACACAATTTTCACGTCTACGGTGTTATCGAATGGTCCCGAGCTGCCTGTGACTATGATGCAGGAGCCCCAGAGAGAAAGAGGCAACGGACACGACGCCTCCATTTTATCCGCCTGTGGGTGTAGCCGGCGCATGCTGCGACTTGTCGTGAACACACCCAGAGGAAGAGCGCCAACAACACTCAGCACCGACACTGGTGGCAACGCCAAGCCCGGCCTTGACCAGCGCGACGACATCACGGGCACAAGCGACAGCACGAACGAACACCGAGGACACCAAAGCGCGAACTCCCCGCGGCGTCGTCGAAGACGGCTCTAACCTAGAACCGTGGGAGGAATTCGTTCGCAGAGCTACCCGCGCAGGTGCAGATCTAGCGACATGTTTCAAAGTGGGCGATTGGACGACTCTCTACCGCAAGCGCAAATGGCGACGTGCAGGGCGAGTCGCAGCACAATCCCACCGCAGAGGGGCCAGACTTGCTGCAGCGTGGGAGCCCGTTTTCCACGACGCCCGCCAGTGGGCCCGCCTGCTGGTGGACACGCGCGTATCGTCGTCGTCTCGTACGTGACGAAAACATATGGTTACGCCCGAATTGTTGCGCGTAACCGAAACGCGAAACATATGGTCACGATCGACTCTATCACGTACTAGATCTATCAGAATGCAATGCACACCTCCGTAACCAAAATCTTTCTGGGAAGATCTTCGCGTGACCAAATCGTAACCATATTTGTCGTCTCCGTAACCAATTCAAAACTTAAAAAACAGCAATCGTAATCACATCCTAACCAACTGGTAACCACATCGAACCGAACATGTTCGACATTCCCGATTGGGCTCCAGAGGAGGGCGCTGGACCAAGGCGGCGAGGATGACAACGAAGACGAGCACGCGGAGAGGTGCATAAAGAAGGAGGGGGCGGGGGCAGAGACAGGACTTGGGGAAAAAGGGGACGCCGTGAAAGACGACGAGGACAAGCGAGCGACGAGGAGGGAAGACTGATGATGACGAGGAGGAGACAGCGGTATCAGGTGGAACAGGACAAGGAGGAGGATAATGATTCGGGGAGGGACGGGAAATGACAGGCAAGCGCGATGAACATTGAATAACGAGGGATGAGGAGGAGGGAAAGAGAGAAACGGAAAAGCAAGGAGAGGATGAAACGGACAAGTCGGAGGAAGCATGGGCGGAAGCGCGGCGAGAGCACGAGAGCCGCATTTGATGATTGACCGACTGATGACTTGGTGCCAGGCTTCAAGGTTACAGCCAGGAGGGTTGGAGAGAGGCTTTTGAAGGAGGCCCGAATGGACAAGGGCGAGGATGAGGCTTGCAGGCAACAGTATAGGAATGGCAACGTCAGAGAAGGCTTGCGGGGGAAGAGGGAGCCTGAAGAGGGAGACTTTGAACCAGGAGTAGGTGCGGGGAGACATGGTTGGAATTCGGAGGTGCTTTGGATGACAGCGAACGTGATGAGCAGGGTGAGCTGTAGGAGTCGAAGTGCGCGGGGGCCCGCGCGGACGAGGCAGGAATCTACGATGGAGGGTGATGTTTGCAGGGTGCCGTCCTCCATCCTCCCTCGCCTTGTCCATGCTCCCGCTTCCCACCGCCCCCTATCCGTTCTCTCCCCTACCTTCCTGCTCATTCGTCGCCCTTCCTTTCCTCCCCATCTTAACACGTTTCCTTCCTCCATTCATCCCGCTCGCTCCTCCTTGCGCAGGTCCTCCCCTCATGCGAAGTCGCCCCATACTCCAGTCATCTCTCCTCCCCCCTTCGCCTCGGCACCCCGTCCTCACCGTTTCAATCCACTGTGTGCCCTGTGATCTTGTCAAAAATGTTGTGTATATGTGGTGTTGCTACTTCTCCGCCTTGTCCCCGTTGCGCGTCCCATCTTCTGCGTCCTTTCGGATGCCACACCTTTCCCATCCTCCTCCTCCCCCTGTCTTATTCCGTGCTCGCGGAGTCGAAGAGGAGTTTCCCCGACGCTCCGAATCGGGTTAATCATCGTGCTCTTCTGTATGATGAGATGTTCCCCCGCCGCCCCCTTTCGAGCCTCCTCCTTTTCATCCCCCTTCTTTTTCCTCCGCATCCTTTTTGTGTACTCCCCCACCCCACCCCCATTCCAACTCCTCCTCCTCCTTCTCCTTCTCCTTCGCCTCGTCCTCCCCTGTCTCTTCGGCGATCCCCGTCCCCTCCCCAGTCTTCGTCCTTCTGCTCCACCCGTCCCCTCGTCTACCTCATCTTTTTCTTTTGCTTTTATTCCTCCGCGTCGTACTCTTCGTTCTAGTATTCCCCCGCTGCCACCCTTTATGGCATGCGTGCGCGAAAAACAAAAGATACGTATGAGTCCGACTTTTTCCCGGTCTTATGTTACGACAGACTGTTAATCTGCACGTGCGTCCCATGAGTGGTTCCCGACGTACAAAGAGTTATCGCTGTAGCCCAACCGTCCCCAGACGCAAGAGTCGTCCTCGCGCTGCGAGACAGGAATTACCATGAATGGTTCGGGTGATTCTGGGGTCAGTATTTCATATGCGCCCCCATGCTGGGCCAGATTTGGTCTCGGTTTGGTTGTGACGTTCGCGGTGCGCCGCGAACATCATAACCAAATCCTAACCAAATCGTAACCGAATCATAGCCATATTGGGCCGTAGCCAAATCGTAACCGTTGAACCGTACTTGATGTACTGTATTCAAATCCTAACCGGAGCTCAAGTTTTCATCACCAAATCATAACCAAATTGCACTTCGTAACCACCATTCCCGCAACCGAATCAAAACAAGGCACCCTTCGGTGGCGGAATCGCTTCTGCCAGGCGACAGTCTGGTCCCGGACGCGTAGGCAAACAACCACTGTCATTTACACCTGTTTCGGGGGCGTGCTTTGGCTGCGCGCTCTTGTCTTCGAGGGGACGGGTCCAGACGTCTGCCTCCTGCCTCTCGCTTCCCCCGGCCCTCCGCGAGAGAGCCCCTCCGGAGGGCCGCCGGCCGCAGGGGGCGGGCGCGCCCAGGTGCGTGCCCCTGGCGATCGTGGCCACCAAGCTGTCCGCGGGCCTGGCCTTCGCGACCATCTGGAGCCCGCGCGCCCCAGCCTGGCGCCTCGGAGGAGGAGGAGGAGGAGGAGGAGGAGGATGAGGAGGACGAGGAGGAGGAGGAGGAGGAGGAGGACGAGGAGGAGGAGGAGGAGGAGGACCCGTTCTCGAGGCCGGGGGATTGTGGAGCCCATCGTCGTTTTGTTCAGATTTTTATCGAGTGGGACGCTCTTTCATCTTTATAAACTTTGATGTTGTTTGCCATTTTTCTGCTCGCCGTGATCCCCTCATGATATGCGTCTCTCGTCATATCGTTATCTCGTGCTCTCTCTTTCTCTCTCTTTCTCTCTTTGTCTCTCTCTTTCTATCTCCTGCACCAGGCCAATGCATGCCGATGCGATACCAATCCACTGCCATCCAATGCCAATGCAATGTGAATGGGGGAATTTCTTCGCTCGGTGGATTTCAATCAGAATCCTTTTGTGGACGGTGTCATTACGAATCCTTCTTCGGAGGATTTCAATAGGAATGCCTCTGTGGAGGGTTTCGAAAAGGATCCTCCTGTGGAGGGTTTCACTAGGAATCCTTTTCGTGGGGGGTTCAGTAGGAGTCCTTCTGCGGAGGGAGACATAGGACTCGTTAGCGCAATGCCAACGCAATGCCGAAGCAGTTTCATCGCAATGCCCAACCAATGCCAAGGCGATCCCAATCCAGTGCCAATGCAATGCCGATGGGGGGGCCTTTGTGGTAGATGTCAAAAGGAAACCTACTCCTGGAGGGTTTTCATGGGAACCGCTGTGCGAAAGGAGGCACAAGGACGCGCTAGCGCAATGCCAAAGCAATGCCCGATCCAATGCCAATGGGGGAGTCCTTTCGCTCGGTGGATTTCCATCAGAGTCTTTTTTGGGCGGTGTCATTACGATTCCTTCTTCGGAGGATTTCAATAGGAATGCCTCTGTGGAGGGTTTCGAAAAGGATCCTCCTGTGGAGGGTTTTACTAGGAATCCTTCTTGTGGGGGGTTCAGTAGGAGTCCTTCTGCGGAGGGAGCCATAGGACTCGCCAGCGCAATGCCAACGCAATGCCGAAGCAGTGCCATCGCAATGCCAAACCAATGCCAAAGCGGTCCCAATCCAATGTCAATGCAATGCCAAAGAGGGGAAACCCTTTGTTACATATCCCAAAATAATCTTACTTGTGGAGGGTTTCACTCGGAATCGTTCTGCGAAGGGGGGCATGTTGATTCGCCAGCGCAATGCCAACCCAGTGCCAACGGAATGCCGAACCAACGCCAAGGCGATCCAGACTTAATGCCACTGCAACGCCAGTGGGGGTGGACTGCTTGTGGTAGCGCTCAATATCAATCCTTCTAAGAACCCTTTTTGTGGATGATGTCATCCACACAGGAATCCTTCGAATCACCCTTCTTCGGAGGATTTCAACAGGCATCCCTCTGTGGAGGGACTCGCATGGAACTTTTTTTTGTGGAGGATGGCAATGTGAATCCTTAGTGTCGGGTTCCGTAGGCACCATTCTTTTGGACGTCTTCAATCGGAATCCTTTAGGTGGAGCGTTTGGTTGGGACTCGCCAGCGCAATGCCCTCGCAATGCCAACGCAATACCAATGCGATACCAAACCGTTACCAAGCCAGTTCCAATGCAATACCGATGACGTGGTTCCAGTCTTTCAACAGATTCCAACAGAAGTCCTGATGTGGATGATTTGGTTACGGGTCCTTCGTCGGAGGATGTCGATAGCAATCTCCTTGTGGAGGGTTTCGGCAAGAATTCTTATGTGGAGGGTTGAACCATGAACCCTTCAGGCGGGGGCTTTCAAACGGAACCCTTCGTGCGGAAGGTTTCCATAGGAATCCTGCTATGGTGGGAGCCATTAGAGCTCGCCAGGGCAACGCCAAATCAGTGCCAACGCCATGCCAAACCAATGCCATGGCAACCCCAACCTAATCCCAATGACATGCCTGGGGGAAATATCTTGTGGTCGGTTTCAATTGGACTCCTTCTATGGAGGGCTTCGGATGGGTTCAATGCAAACCCTTCTTGTGGAATGGTTCAATCAAAATCCTTTTCGTGTGGGGCTCAACAAGAATCATTCTGCGAAGGGAGCTATTGAAACTCGCCAGCGCAATGCCAAATCAGTGCCAACGCAATGCCAACTTAATGCCAAGGCGGTCCCAACCCAATGTGAATGCAATACCGATGGGGGGAAGCATGTGTGATAGATCTCAGTAGGATTGGGGCGCCCCGTCCAGGTCCAGGTGAGGGGGTAGGGGGGAGGAGTAAACCCCTCCCCGATGGGGAATAATGGGTTTGGAAGAGGATCCTCCTTAGACCACCCACGCACAGAGGGCTGGTGGGACTCACGAAGGAAATCTCGGCCTGTCGCCGACTGCTGAGACCATTCACTTGGAGCACCACTTCAGCTTCAGGAGTATTTCGTAATTGTGTGTAGGGTAGATCGCGACGAGTTGGATTTGAACACGCTGTGGCATTACGAAGTGAAGTGCAAACGGAGGCAGCACATCATCATTGCTGCCACTGCAGCAATGATCACCCCACGCAGTTCGAGCATGGCTATCACCGTGGTCATGCTACTCGTGGCCATGTCAGCTCACGTGGTTCAAGGCGCATTACTCTGCGTTTCCCGCGATGGCGATCCACATGCTGAGGGAGTGGTATACCAGGTGGACTCCCGGCTCAGTTACATTTTCACGGTCGGTTTTGGTGTGGCATCGTGGGTTACGATCAATGGAATTTTCTCCATATTGCCCTCCATCATCAGCCAGATCCCCGAGGGATGGGCCATTGCGTCGACGCTCGGCCTTGCAATCCAAGCTGGGAACATCGGGCCGCTCATCTACCGCCTCTCCCGCACGAGCTTCGAGATGATACCCGTCGTGGTGTATGGCATGTTGGCCGTCGGTGTTTCGAGCATGGTGCTGTTGGCCTGTTTCTGGGACGTGACCACGGAGATTATGGGATCACCCTGCAGCGTCGTGCTGATCTCCCTCACGTTCACGGCGGCGATCTGCGACTGCACCTCCTCCGTGGTCTTCTGGCCCTTCATCGGCGCCCTGGCACCGGCCATGATCTCGGGGCTCGCGCTGGGCGAGAACTTGAGCGGCGTGGTGGGCTCGGCCGTGTCGTGGTCGGGATTGTCGCCGGGCAGGTCCTTCGGTGCCTTGGCGGTCGTGCTTGTCATCTCGGGTATCGCCTTCGGCCGTCTCCAGCGGGAAGTCCCGTCGGCAGCAAGCCAAAAGACTGCTGCAGATTATGCTCCTCTTCTTTGCGCTGGCAGCCGTAGCCCTGCTTTGCTCTACTTGGTGGTCGGCGTGACGAGTTTGTTAGAGAACGCAGTGCTTCCAAGTATCTTGCCATATGCGACTGCGCGGTACTCTCTCAAGGACTACCACATCGCGTCAACCATTCCTGTGGTACCCTTTGCGTTGTTCACCCTGTCCTACTTTCAGGTATCGCGTGCCACGATAGCAGTAATGGCCGCAGGCGCTGCAGGTGGCGTCTGCATTCTTATTTTGATTGGGTTGGGACATGGAAGCGTCGGCGGTAACTTCGCCATTTTACTGGTTGTAGTTGTGAAGACACTTCTGGCCTATAGCAAGGCAGCATCCCTGTACCACTTGAAGGTGGGCGCACCAAATTTTCATGTGGCGCAGCAGCAGTTGGAGACAGCGGGCGGGTTGATGCAGGTCTGGTCCTTGGGTGGTGCTGTCGTCATGTTTGTTCTCATTCATTTCATGGGCCTCTTTCTCGAGAAGTCCTAAAAGCGCCAGCGGCCTGGTCTGCCAAGTGCACCTCTAGCATGTCATGGCGCTCGCTTAGCTCATCTTGTAAAGTCGTCGTTGCACAAATACCTAGCGGCATGTAGCGCTCTACCTTCGTGTAGTGCAGAGACATTGCATTTTTCCAGATCGATGTCGTAATCCCACCTGCTCAGTGGCGTCTGCTTGGACGGGTTGGACGAATTTGTTCGTTCCGCGGTTGACGGAGCAATCTTCCAAGGTTCTTTGCACAGACCGTTGATTGGTACGTGCGCAGTTGGACCCCATCCGACGATACGGCGGAAACATATTGCCTGCTTGCTCTTGTTGTTATCTTGTCACGCGCAGAGCACTGTGCACACGTTGTGCTCAATCATATGGTATGTTGCGGTGTTGTGTTGTATCCCGTGCGGTGTCATGTGGACTGTGTTATTCAGTTGTTGTGCTACTCGCCGTGTTGGGATTGTATGAGCTGGTCGCCACGATGTGCTATCTTGTGTAATGTTGCGATGGTCGCGTGCTCGATGTGGGGTATGTTTGCATGCGTGTGTGGTTCGTCTGATACTCGCCTTTCCTGATACGATGCAGTGCGTCGTCTTCTGCGCCTGCTCTCACGCAGAGTTGCGCCGTCTAGCTACCATACTCATGCCAGTGCGGAGCCATCGCAATCCCGAATCGGATCGTCTCAGGCCGTCTTGGGGACGCTTTGGGTCCGCTGTCCATCTCCCTGGGGCTGCTTTGGCCTGTTCGCGACCCTCTGCGCCTCTCTGGGCTGCCTTGGACATGTGCTGTGTGTGTGTGTGTCTTTGACGCCGTTCCGAGGTGGCAGCTCGCAGTCTCCCAGGGCTCGAGTGCCCTTCCCCTTTTCGGCCCTCCCCATTACCCTCCGCTTCCCCCCCCCCCCCCTCTCTCAGATCCCACTTCCTTCTCCGACCTCCCCCTCGCCCCTCCCCCATTGTCTCCCTCCCACCTCCCGCCTCGCCCTCCCCTCCACCCTCCTCCCCCACTCCGCCTCCCCATTCCCCCCTCACACGGCGTGGTGGAAGAGCGCGAAGGCGTGGCATTATATATATACATGTATATAAACAAAATTCAGATATTCGAGGGTCGATCCGTACGGCACCTGAGGCTCGACACGAGGGAAATGCTTGTCGCTCCCTCCAGGATCAGGTTTAACATATCCAGAGGTGGCCTGACGTGTTTAGTTTTCATGTGCGTTGTACGCCATGCCCCCCAGATCATGAGGCCTCAGGCCTTGGTTCGTGGGCCCTCGGGCCTGGCTCGTGCTCACTCGGGCGCCAGTTCATTGGCCCTCGTTGGCTTAACGTTGCTACGCCATCATGCTACGATGCTATGTGCGATGCCGCGCAATGCCCCGCCAATGCTATTGTAGGCCATGCAATGACACGCCATGCAATGACACGCCATGCTATATAGTGCGACATTGTGCTATCCCATGCTGTGCTATGCGATGCTGTTCTCCGGAATGAAGCCTTTGGCCCAGATGGCCACCATAAGCCTCGTGGATTCCTCTTGGGGCGCCTCTTTGAGGCCTCTTGGAGGCCTCTTGCGTGCCTGTAGGAGTCCTTTTTGGAGCCTCTTGGAGGCCTCTTGGGGGCCTTTTGGCGCTTGCTGGCTGTCGCGGAGGCCAACTTGGCATAGAGGGCTCCAAATGGCCGTTTGAATTTTTGGGCCTCTTGGGTGCCAATTGGAGCCTTTTGGGCACATCTTGGGAGCCTTGAGGGGTACTACCCTTGTGGAAGTCGATTAATGGAGAGGAAGCATGCTGCCACATAGTTTCCAGATGTCTACAACATGTTTCAAACACGTTTTTAAAATGTAAAAACATGTTTGAAACATTTCTAGAACATGTATTACACATTTTAACCACATGGGATTGTTAACGTGTCCATTGCCATGGCATCCACAATACTACCCTTGGACGCTCTGAAGACGGAAAACGCGAGGTCGCCATACTCGTACAAGCAGCGCATGGCTCTTGTCAGTGGTCGGCCTTGCGGGCCGGCCCCGAGGTCTCCAAGAGGGCTCCAGAGGCCCAGACAGGAGCCCTATCCGTGGCCACTTGGGCTCAAGAAGGAGGCCTGCGCCTTGGGCCCGCCAGACTGCACTGGAGGCCGTGGGAGACCAGGATGCCATTGGGCCTCTGGCCAGTAGGGTGGCATCGGAGTCACCCCAACACTCTTCTACTATATGTGCGTCACCCCCTCAGGGGCGACGCGCGCACCGAGAAATCTGATAGTGTGTATGCGCCATGGCGGGCGCTTTCTGGCCACACCGCTCGGGAAACGATGCGCTACAAGATGGGTATGCTATCTGTTCGGGTCGGACGCGCGCCTTCGAGGAGGACATGAAGCATCAGTATGTCTCTGTGCGTCCCCTGCGCAGGCGTTCGAAGCGCGGTTGCGCCTCCTCTCTCGTCGGCACAAAGCTATCGCGGCTGCCTTGGATGTGTGCAGGACGGGGCCTGGATGGTTCGTCCCAGGCTGACTGTCCTGGGGAGTGAAGAGAGGAGTCGCACAACTTTTACATACAATCTTGTATATGCGTCAAATTACTCCGACGGAAGGACCCCACATGAGAATCCTCTGGGCGAATCTGGAAAAAGCCCTCACCGTCGTCCTCGTGGTTGGTGAAGCGTCCTGGCTGTCTCTTCTGCGTATATTTCTTCTCGCCCTGGCGCGGGCCCTCCCCCCGCTCCCTACGTTGCCCCCGACCTCGCCCTCCTGTTTTGGCTTCGGACATTCAGAAAGTGGCCCGGGAGTGGTGTTCTGGGAACACGAAGAACACGAAGTGGCCTACAGCTGGCTCCGGGCATTCAAAATGTGGCCTGGGAATGGTGTTCTGGGCGCACGAAAAACACGAAGTGGCCTACAGTTGGCTCCGGGCATTCAGAATGTGGCTTGGGAATGGCGTTCTGGCAGCGCGAGAGCCCAAAAGTGGCGACAGTTACAAGAATTGGATGACCCGCTCGGATTAGTAACATGATCCGCGGGCCCCATAGGGAGGGGGCTCCCGCTTGAGACTTCCTCGCAATTCACTCACAAATGTGGCCTGGGAATGGCGTTCTGGCAGCGCGAGAGCCCAAAAGTGGCGACAGTTACAGGAATTGGATGACCCGCTCGGATTAGTAACATGATCCGCGGGCCCCATAGGGAGGGGGCTCCCGCTTGAGACTTCCTCGCAATTCACTCACAAATGTGGCCTGGGAATGGCGTTCTGGCAGCGCGAGAGCCCAAAAGTGGCGACAGTTACAGGAATTGGATGACCCGCTCGGATTAGTAACATGATCCGCGGGCCCCATAGGGAGGGGGCTCCCGCTTGAGACTTCCTCGCAATTCACTCACAGACGAGGCCCAAGGCGAGTGAGTGAGTGAGTGAGTGAGTGAGTGAGTGACTGACTGACTAGTGATGATGATGATGATGATGATGATGATGATGATGATGATGATGATGATGATGATGATGATGATGATGATGATGATGATGATGATGATGATGATGATAATGATGATCATCACACTCTCTCACGCGCACACTCATCATCATCATATGTGAGTGCTGACGAGTCAGTGAGTGAGTGAGTGAGTGAGTGAGTGAGTGAGTGAGTGAGTGTGTGTGTGTGTGTGTGAGGGATGATGAGTGAGTGAGTGAGGAATGAGTGATGATGATTATGGTGGGTTCCTGTTCTCGCGGGGTGTCCAGAGAAAACAAGAACCCCACTTTGGATGTGGGGAAAAAAGTATGTCTCTGTGCGTCCCATGGCAGAGTGCCCGCCGACGGCGTTATATTGGGGCGTCTGGGTCGCCCCGAGCGGGCGCCGCGGGCCCGGGCCGTGGCCCGAGGGAGAGCCACCGGCGGGGGCCGAGAGTGGCGCTCTGGTGCGCTTCGGGATCGGCAAGCAGTTGTGTCCCACGGGGCACTTCACTCAGTGGAGATGGCTCCTTGGCGGGGGCCCAGGAAGAGGGAGCCTGGAGAGGGAGGGTTCAGTCCAACATCGTTGATGAGTCCTGTGTTTGCACTGGTCCTCCTCCTCCCCCTCCTCCTCCTCCTCCTCCTCCTCCTCCTCCTCTTCCCTCTCCTTGTCCTCGCCCTCGTCCTCCTCCTCCTCTTCCTCCTCCTCCTCCTCCTTCTCCTCCTCCTCCTTCCCCCCGGCGTGTTATAGTGTGAATCAGAAGGCCAGTTGTAGGCGAGGTGAAGCCGTGCTCTTGTTGCTCGTGTGCCTGCTGGACACACGGCGCTGTCTTCATCGAGACCAGGACCCCGTCTTTTTGCGGCAGTATTCGAGCTGGATCGATCTGTGAAGGCCCAGGGGCCCGGAACATGGCGGCAACGCCCGGCTCGAAAGAATTGTGACGCCAGGATTTCAGGCTCCCCGCCATGCCCCTTGCAGGCACGGGCGGGCTCCCTGGCGGAGCGCGCGCGCTACTGGCGGCCGTTCGCTCGTTCTTTCGACCCTCCTCAGGCAAGCCTCGGATTGGTGTGAACCGTTCCAGAGCGTTCCAGAGCACTCGGAGCGTTCCCGAACGCTCCCGAACCGCCACGGCGCCCGATGCACCCTCCAGAGCCGCCACTTCTCAGAAATTCCCGATTTGTTCCTGTCCGATCTTGTCCGTGTCCTCGCTTCGTCTTGCCTCCGGTGCGCCCGCCAGGCTGCTGTGCGGCGCGGCTGGTCGGCGAACGGTGCAGGCTGGAGCGGTTCTGTTTCCCCCTCGGGCGGAAGCCTTTCGGCCCAGCGAGGGGGGAGGAGGATCGAAGGTCAAACATGGCATACACATAATCTCTTGGAGGTCCGCGCGGAATTTTTGGATCGGCGCTGCCTTTGAGGAGGAGGAGGAGGAGGAGGAGGAGGAGGAGGAGGAGGAAGAGGAGGAGGAAGAGGAGAGGAGGAGGAGGCGGAGGAGGCGGAGGAGGAGGAGGAGGAGGCGAAGGAGGCGGAGGCGGAGGAGGAGGAGGAGGCGGAGGCGGAGGCGGAGGCGGAGGCGGAGGAGGAGGAGGAGGAGGAGGAGGAGGAGGAGGAGGAGGAGGAGGAGGAGGAGGAGGAGGAGGAGGAGGAGGAGGAGAAGAAGGAGGGGCTCCGTAGCCATTTTGGCTCAAGGGCCATCGGGGGCCCGAACCGCGGCTCCCCCTCCCCCGCCAGAGGGCCGCCGCGCGGGCCGGCCCCAGGCGCGTGCGTTCGCAGGATCTGCCGACCGCGCCGCGATGGAGCCTCGTCATGTGGCACGGCCCTGGCAGGACGCTCATGGTGCCTCGATAGGCACGCAGAGCGTGGAGCCGTTGCAGCAGCAACAGCAGACGAACCCCTGGGCTCAACAGGTCCGCTTCGCGCGGAAAGCGCGCCAGGTGGCGGCGCAGCGGGCAGCGAGCCATCAATTGCTGCTCAGCGTCAACTCATTTCCGAGCTGCAGTGCCACTTGCGAGCGTTGCATCAGTGGTGGCAACAAGCCCATCACGAGCCTTTTTTGGGGACAGCGCTGGACGCCAGACGCCATCAGCTACAGCGCCGAAGCGAGCGACCCCCGCGGGAAAGGAGGGGCATCGCCCCAGGCGGCTGGCGGAAGCGAGGGGAGTGGCAGCAGTGGTCAATCATCAAGAAACAAAGACATGGCTCAAACAACATCTTGGCTCAACAGCTTTGCCCCGGCAGGTTTCCAGAAGGCGACGACACAAAAACCATTCTGAGGACAGAGCTCAGACGCCATCGCAGACACATCATTGCGAGAAGCGTGCGGCGAGGTCGAAGCCCGTTACCACTAACCTAGGCCTGGACGCAGCCATGTGCGAGTCGAAGGAAGGCGAAGATGGAGCCCGAGCCCGACGCGATCATCTACGGTTCAGGGATCAGGGCAAACTGGATGCGACCGCGGGAACTGGCGTTAGGAAAGGAGCACAGTCGTCATCAGCTGCAGGCTCGGCCGCCCGTGCGCGAGACGTGACGCCAGCACCGGCGCCAGTGAAGCTGGAGGGCGATGACACAAGCCATCGAGAGGACAGAGCCCAGACGTCATCGCAGACACGGCATAGCGAGAAGCAGGCGGCGTGGTTGGAGCCCCTCACTACTAACCTAGCCGAGGACCCATACAACGCGCGCTAGACGAAGAAAGGCGAAAATGGAGCCTAATGTGATCATCTACGATTCAGGGGCCAGGGCAAAGGCGAAGCGAGGGGGGACGGCAGCTGCAGCGACACCGGGCAAGAGCGGCAGCATCACTACGCCATCAGTTACAGGCGCTGTTCGAGAGCATACCATACCAATACACATCGAGGGCTATGATGACAACTTCCCGTGGGAGAGCACTATATCAGCGGCGACGACAGGCAGTTCATAAAATTCGTGCAGGAAAATACAGGGGTGACCCTGCAGTTGATCAGTTACCCGCGCGGAGGCTGCGAGTTGTTCATCACAGCGACGGATGGCACGAGCAACGCCGAATTCGAAAGGGCCCTAGAGATGTGCCACGACTTCGTCGACCGCACCTACAAGGAGGCCGCAGGTTGGGGCGGCACCGTTCGGGACGACGGGTGCAAGAGCGACCTTGAGGACAGCGGCCCAGCGAGCCAGAACGACACAGAGAGCCACGCCACGGACAGCGAGTGCGACGGCAAGACCACGTACACGGAGCACGGCGACACCCCTGCAGGGCGAGGGGGTAGGCACTACGGCGACACCCCTGCAGGGCGATGGGGGTAGGCCCTACCGTGGAGGCCGCGGCCACCCCGGCAGGGCGAGGGGGTAGGCCCAAGGTCGTCGCGATCGCTTTCGGCACCTTCGGCTTCCTCATCGCCATCGCCCCTCATCGCCATCGCCCCCCACCGGGGTGAGCGTGCCGCCCTCCCACAGGGGGAGGGGCCTGGCGGCCTCCGAGGGGGGGCCAAGTTCGGGAATGACGAGTTCGGCGATCACCTGGACTACGTCATCTGAGCGGAGGGGGAGGTGGAATCCCTCCGTGAGCGGCTACGTCCGTTGACGGACGCAGAGCCGATACGTCCGAGGAGGAGGAGGAGGCTGAAGTTTTCGGACGTTTTGTCGGTTCTCGGCAGCTTCCCACCCTCGGGATGATTTCCATCCAGCGGCTCTGCCTCGCCGAGAGCGTGCTGGGGGTGCCCGAGTCGCTCCGAACGGGCACTGGAGGCCCGAGTCCTGGCCCGCAGGCAGCGAGGCGCCGAAGAGGGTGTGATGACTCGGGGCGTGTGTGGATACCATGCGTCCCTCCTCCCTCCTCCTCCTCCTCCTCCTCCTCCTCCTCCTCCTCCTCCTCCTCCTCCTCCTCCTGCATGGTGGCACAGTTCGGCCCAACGGTGCCCTCGTTCATGCCATTCACGCCAGCGCAGTCACCCTTCTGCTTGGCCGCCGACGCAGAACGTGTGGATGTCATGAGCAGGATCGTGGAAACACCCAGATCTCATGGCCTCCTCTTCATTTCTAGGGCGTTCGCTGGCCGCCCCCCCTCGTCCGCGCACGTGCTTCGGGCTA